ATAATGCCTGCAAGGAAGCAACCAAGTTTAGAGAGCACTAAGGATTCCACAATTCATCCCTGAGCTTTTTATGTTCTTTTCTATTAGATCTAATCAATTGCCTGCAATATTCTTTGGGCCAGCAATCATCATAAACAAAATCTGTGAAAAATCTATTTCCAGATTATTTATAATTTATATTACTTTAAACTAGAAAATGTTACTAAGGCTAATCCATAAAAAATATAGTGGTGTTACTATAGATGTCGATCTATTGCCCATTGATATACCTAGCCACTTAATCTTTATAAAAATACAGTTTTAATTCATGCCCATCAAATGCTTTTTCAAGCTGGAGAAGAAAAATAAAATAAATGACTAGGCCTCTTTTGGACAAACACTCTGGCAACAGAATTAAATTAAACCAACTGGCAAAAATCAGATTGGGTTAAATCCAATTAATTTAAGCTGGTTTAACTAAGGCAGATGGCAGTTTCCCAGAAATTATTCCAACAAGAGTAGCAGTAGGATTCCTGAGGTAAAATAGTTTATGTAAAAAATAAGGGAGATTGTGTGTGTGAATTCCAAACGTTATACAAACAGAGATGAGGCTTCAAGAACCAGAAAACAAATTCTGCAGAAAATGTTAGCATATAGCTTCCAGCAGAAACTTTGCTGCTGACCCTGATAAGTGGGCCACAAACCTAGTGATCACCACAAGTCCTTTATTACAAAGGCACCCCTTCATTTTACAACAGTGTCCTTTAGATTTATTTTTCAAAAAATCACCTTTGTTCATCTTTCATCATTTAACTTTAGCCATACAAATGGTACCATTTAATGCATAGTCTTTCACATTCCTGAGAAAAATATGAAAACTGATTGCCTTTTTAAAAATAAATCTACATATATTGTTTAACTTTAGATATTTATATTAGAATAAATGTTTTTGTAGTTTTTCTTGGTTTTACTCTTGCATTTTCCTTTGTAAAGCAAAATTATAAATATAAACAATTAAAATATTTAGACTTATGAATTTCTTTCAAACTTTTTTTCAGGTTTGGTCTTTATTTATTTTTCATGAAAATATGGTCAGTGTATATAAACCTCACTGTAACGTATCTAATAAATTAATAGGCTAAGGGAACAAGATGGCCATTGATTAAGTCCAACCTATATGTGCTCATTTGCCTATTAATTGTTGTTTATATGACAACATAGAAGGTTATGCTAACTATCCAAACAACTGCTAGCTCACTGGCTGGAAGAAAGTTCACAGAAAGGCAGCAGAGAGGTAGAAAGGAAAGGAAGGACAAGAAATTATGGGCTGCCTGAAATAACCTCACTGGTAGGATGGGCCAAAAGGAAGAAATGCCACAGAGCCAGTCCTAGACTAAAAGTACCATCTAAATCAGGCATACACTCAAAAACTGGGGAATTCCTTCTGCAAGTTAATCAGTCCCTATCTTCTAAGAATGGGCTAGCCAGATCCATCTTTCCATGGCTTGGGAAGTAACACATTTCTGAAACTGTGTTGGAAGTCAGCAGAAGAAAAATCTGGAAGAGAAATCTAATGTGAATGAGTGAATCTAATGTCCTCCAAATGTGTAGAACAAGAATTCTGTCTACACATCTACAGAGAGCCAGAAAAATGCCCTTGGAGAAGCAATGTAGAGACATGTACACAAATATGCTTTAAGCTTGGGAAACAAGCAAACAAGCGAACAATATTCAGAAGAAACTCAGACTGGTTCTGCCAAAATTCATGGGATATAAGAGGGAGGGCAGGGAAAACAATGGCAGGCTTTCAAGGTTCTGTTGGTATAGCCTACAAATATAGTTCCAATCAAACCTGAAGAGTCAGTTTCTAGTCTGTCCTGCCTCAAAGGATTGACAACATGCTAATAGCCAGGGATAAGAACTGTAGTCCAATGCATTTGGAGGTCACCACAATGGGGAAATGCTGGCTTAATAGCTTTTCTCAACAATGGGCTGTTTCAGCTAAGGGATAGCAGCAACATCTGGAAGTTTAGACCAAGCAACAGATATGGGACCGGCATTATTAATTCAGCTAAATCTTTTCTTGTACATTTTCCAGACTCCATGTCCCATCCCATGTTTTATGGTATGCATAGCATCCATTTTACAAATTCATCTCTCCAATTCCAAGTATGTCTATCAGCAAATAAAAAAGAGAGAGAAAACCTCTATTAGCAGATCTTTTTGGAACTAAAACCAAAGAAAAACTACAAGTCTGTAGGAGGGTTTGTCTTGTGCAGTCATCTAGTAAGATGATATTCAAATGAAAAGAGAGAACAGTTTGCCAGTTTCATAGATTATGTTCTCTCGTTTCTGAATGATTTTATTGTCTTAATTGGCAAATATCCTAAATTTTCATTTGAAAGCCTCAGTGCTCCTTTTTAAAGATCCATTATAAACTTGTGTTGTAAGGAATTTAAAAATAACCCTTTGCTGTAGGGCAAAAATATCTTGCTTTTTATCTGACTGAAACATCAAGTTAATACCTCAGGGCGACAGCGAATGTATTCAGGTTTCTTGTAGCAGGATTTGGGGATAAAATATCAGAAGCCCTGGATGTAGGAAGAACTGCTTGCCACATTCTGAAGTAAGCAATGTAATATATAGTATCATCTAAAATGGCCTAAAGTATATCCCGGAATTTGGTACCAGTGTATTAGATTTGCCATCAATTTTTAAAGGCTGGGACCTATTTGCTCTAAAGCAGTGGTTCTCAAGTTTTCTTCACCATGGACCCCCCCCCTTTTGTGGCTACAGACCATGACCACGGACTCCCCAACATTTAACTCAAGATTTAAATCATAAAATTTCTTCAAGCCTTCATAGACCCCCTTTGATGACATCATGGACCCCCAATGGTCTGCAGACCAAGGTTGAGAACCACTGCTCTGGAGCATCTTCTGTTCTCAAACTGTATGCATTCTGCATATTATAAGCATTTTGTTCCAAGTCAGCAGACATAGTCAGCCCTTCTAACCCAAATCAGGATGGCCAATTAACTCTTCGAAAAAAACCATCTCCTATAATTTAAAATAACAGGAGAAACCTTGTTGTGAAGTAGTCATGCATGGAAACAACCAACTGCTTAGAACTACTAAAAGTGTTCTGCCTGTGATATTATAGCCCATTCCAGAACCAACTAAACATTTCCAAGCAAGAGTGTCTATTGAAGAGGGCAAACAAGGAATTCTTACAGGTAGTCCTCAACTTACAACCATTTGTTTAGTGACCATTCAAAGTTACAACAGCACTGAAAAGGGAATATGTGGTAATTTTTCACGCTTACAACCATTGCAGCATCCTTAATCATGTGATCAAAATTCAGATGCTTGGCATGTATTTATGGCGGCTGCAATGTCTCTGGATCATGTGAGCCTCTTTTGCAACCCTCTGACAAGCAAAGTCAATGAGGAAGCCAGATTCACTTAACAACCATGTTACTAACTTAACAACTGCAGTGATTCATTAAACAACTGTGGCAAAAGAAAGGTTGTAAAATGAGACAAAAGTGACTTAACAACTGTCTTGCTTAATCATGGAAATTTTGGGCTCCATTGTGGTTTTAAGTCGAGCACCACCTGTACTTGACTTATATCAGATGATGGATACAGAATTAGGGCATTTGGGTGATGTTTTTATGTACATCTTGTCATCTCAAAGCCTATAACGGCAGCGTGCTATGGATGCTGCTGTTTTCAAATCAAAATGAGTTTGCAAGCTTAAGACTCAAGAAACAGGTAGGTAGTTTGAGAGGGTCTGTTGCTTGCAGTACATACAACTCCTGTAAATAAGATTGTGCAAGATTTGTATAACTTCCAAACCCTGCCAAACTCATTTGGCCTGAGGTGGCAATAGGACAAAGGAGACTCCACTGATAATGGAAAGCAACACTTCTCAGAGCCACCTTCTACTAGTATTTCTTTTCAAACCTATTACCTATTTCTAACCTAAATACCCCAAAATGCATTAGTTCCACATTATGCTTTAGGGCAAAAATGTCTGTGTGCAAGCATCTAGCTGTCTCAAATCAGATTAAATACCAGAGTGGCAGGACAAAGAAGGAGACTGAAAGATGAGTTTTTACACAGAAAATTTCTTGCCAATCCTTTCTTGAAAAAAAGGATGTAGAAATGAGATTACTCCTAAAGGTTTTATATGTTCTTATTTTGCCTGATTATGGTCACGGCTGACATAGAGAGGTAATCTGAGGTCTGATCCTGGCAAACAGAGACTGCATTTCCCTCCTCGTTTACAAGTGGTCTGCAAAAAGACAAAGAGAAAGCAAAGCTCTGCCATTAAGCTATTACTGCTATAGGAGGCTTGAACTGGCACATGTGCTTCAAGAACGAGCTAGGACATGCTTCTAAAATCACTGGAGGGCTCAGCTTAGTGATTGTATCATAGCAGCCAACAGCTGCAAAATGAAATTCTTGTGACTTGGAGTTTGCCAGGCAATGAGGAAGTGGAGGTAGGGAAAATGTAAGCAATTGGAACCGGAAACAAATTGATGTGGAGTAAGATTTTCTTTTCTTATTTTTCCCCTCCCCTCTCTCTTATCTTTCTTTTCTTCTGTTCTTAAAAGAGTGCTCAAGAAGGCTGTGTATAAAATTCTCATTCTGTATTTAAATTTAAAGAAGAGTGAATTCTCCAATGTGGAAAATCATTTTTTTTTTTAAAATCAACATGTGTTTGCTTGCTGCACTATATTTTTAATAGCTATGGGAACCCTACAGTATAAATACTTGAGTGATTAGTGCTAATTTCATCATTTATAAATTCATCTTTGGAGCTATGAAAAACAGTCCATTTTAGACAAATGAAAAACCCTGCATTTTGGGGAAAGCTGAATGCACATCCAACATCAATTACTGTAGGAATATACTTGGGCAAAGTCTGGACTGGACACAGACTGGCTGCCACTATATATAAAAACACCCTCTCAGATCTCTGTTATAAATATCTTACACATATTTCATCGTTACCTTCTCAGTGACTATGGGTGTGGAAGACAGTGTGAGATTTGTGGGTGATTCTGAATGCTTCTTGTGCTTCTGTTTAGGCCTTTCTTTGTCTTTTCGACTCTGTAAAAGAAGATAAAAAACACAGCTAAAGTTTTGCCTTTTCCAGCAACAGGTGAGAAAGTACAATAAGGGTAAGCTAATACAGGCGGAAGAGTGTGTTATCTCAGAAATAGTTTTTGTCCTTTACCATCCATTTCAGCCTTATCTTCACTCTAGAGCATCTATATATATCACTCCCTCCCCCCTCCAGTTTTCAGCAAAGTCTGCCTTACTGTCAGAAAACCCAAAGCCACAGTAGGCTAAAAATAAAAAAAAAAAAAAGAAAAAAAGATGAGCAAGATATCACTGCTCACAACCCTGCCACCTTTTTTTATAGCCTTAATTAAATTATGCCAAAAAATTCCTTTGGGCAATGCAATTTGCAAAAATCAGACAATGCTCTTAAACCTGCTGAGGTTGCAGCAAATTGATTGGTTAAACTACTTGGTGAAGATGCTTGTCCACCATGCCAGTCTGTGTGAAAGAGCTGATTCTCCTTGTAAGACTTTAGGATACTTCCAAATAAAGTTTCGACAAATTACATTTGTGAGGCAGCCAATTTGCCTTTGGGGAATCAGCAATTATTTTCTATTTTTTACTTGTGGAAGACTTTCAGTTTTCCTTCTAACTGTGCCCCAGTTAAAAGAAGGATTTGGTGCTGTGAATTTCAATTTCTATAATATGTCAATTCCTTGATGAGTCATTGCTAATTTTTGTTTTTGGAAAAAGCTCAGTAGTAGAGCTTAGGCCACACATGAAGAAAGAACAGACAGATTATGTTGATGCCCTGTGCCTAAGAATTGTTCAGTCATGAAACTACATTGTTGCGCTAGTAGATGACTTAAAAGTGATCAGGTAGGACGAAATACATCCTTCTTGGTTCTCTTGGATTTCCCAGGAGCGTTCAACGTGACCATCAGTCTTGTTATTCTTCTGGGCTGCCTGCAGGGTTCAGCCTTTGTTTTCTGCTCTTTTCCTGAGTGGAGGATGGAGGAAGATGAGAGCCTGGCTGTTCTAAAGGCTTCTCCAATGGAAGGTGCTACTGAGTTCTTCTCTATCTTCTCTTATATTTAGCATTTAAATCAGTGGTTCTCAACCTTTTTAATGCCGCGACCCCAACCGGTCGTAAGTCGAGGACTAAACCGGTCGTAAGTCGAGGACTAAACCGGTCGTAAGTCGAGGACTAAACCGGTCGTAAGTCGAGGACTACCCAACCGGTCGTAAGTCGAGGACTTTCCCTGCCCGGGAGCGCCGCGCATGCGTGGTTCCGCCCCCTGCGCCG